AAAAAAAAAAAAAAAAAAAGAGAAAGAAAAAGCACTAGCACAATGAACCTCTAGGCATGTGAAAGAGACTGTTGTGACCAGCTCTGCTTTGGAATTGGCTTCTCTAGCCCCTCCGGGCAGGTCTGGGTGCTCAGGCTACGGAGGTCTCTGCTCCTGACCTCGCTCGCCCCCTAGTGGCTGATGAAGCTCCCTCCACCCTTGGAGGGAGCCACTCCCACCCCCAACTTCCTCAGGCCATTTTTTTTTGAGACAGCGTCTCGCTCTGTTGCCCAGGCTGGAGAGCAGTGGCATGAACGTGGCTCACCGTAGCCTTAATTTCCTGGGCTCAGGAGATCCTCCCATCTCAGTGTCCTGAGTAGCTGCGACTACAGGTACACACCACTATGCCTGGCTAATTTTTTTTTTGAGTTGGAGTCTCACTCTGTTGCCCAGACTGGAGTGCAGCGGCCACTCCCGGCCACCGCAGCCTCGACCTGCTGGGCTCCGGCGATCCTTCCGTCTCAGCCTTCCAAGGAGCTGGAACTACAGGCGCGCGCTACCACGCCCGGCTGATTTTTTTATTTATTGTAGAGATGAGGTCTCGCCAAGTTGCCCAGGCGGGTGTCGAACCCGCGGGCTCAGGCAATCCACTCACCACAGCCTCCCAAAGGCACAGGATTACAGGGTGAGCCATCGAGCCCAGCTAATTTTTTATTTTTTTTTGTAGAGACTAGGTCTCATTATGTTGCCCAGGCTGGTCTTGAACTCCTGGGCTCAGGCGATCCTCCCACCTTGGCCTCCCAAAGTGCTGGGATTACATGGGTGAGCCACCATCCCCAGTCGGGCCATTTATTTTTAAATTGAAAGGAAATGCTCCTAATGTAAATTTACTGTTTTCAAGTGGACAGTTCAGTGGCATTTAGTACATTCACACTGTCGTGTGACCACCACGTCTATCTAGTTCCAAAACAATTTTTTCTTTTCTTTTTTTTTTTTTGAGTCAGGGTCTCACTCTCACCCAGATTGATCTTAGCTTACTGCAGCCTCGAACTCCTGAGTGCAAATGATCCTCCGACCTTAGCCTCCCCGATTTTTTAATTTTTTGTAGAGATAAGGTCTCACTCTGTTGCTCAGGCTGGTCTCAAACTCCTGGGTTCAAGTGATCCTCCCACCTGGGCCTCCCAAAGTGCTGGGATTATAAGTATGAGCCACGGCACGTGACCCCAAAACATTTTCATCACCACCCTACAAAGGCAAACCCCAGACCACTTTTAAGCCTCCAGGCAGGGCGGCTTCCTCTCTGATGCCCATGAGAGGCCACAGGCCTGTATCTCTGAGACCTCTTGTCCCAGCCAGTATCCACTCCAACCCTGTGTGTAGGACTATGTTAGGAACCTACGGTCAGCCTGTCTGTCTGTCTCCAGAGATCGATATTTACATAAACACAAGGGGGAAGTTAACGGGCAGTGGACCATTCGACAGGGAGGGTGAGCCCCCACCAGGTTGTGCCAAGGGTTGTCTGGCTTAGTCCTCATGTAGGCAGGTGTGGCCCTGCCCGGGTCACACTGTGGCTAGTGGCAGAGGAGGGCTCTGCCATCTCACCTGGGCCCCTGTAACTCAGCCCAGTGGGCTGGGTCTCCCACCCGAGTCCCCACCCATGCACCTGTCAGCCAGCTCCTGGGCGATGAGCAGGTGCCGCAGGTGGTACTCGGCTGCACGCTCGTAGTCCTGCAGCAGCGTGTACGTGTTGCCCAGGCTGTAGCAGGCCTGTGCCTCCACCACCTGGTCCCGGAGCTGCCGGGACAGCTGCAGCGTCTTCCTGCACAGAGGGGGTAGGGTCAGCACTCCAGGAGGAGGTTCTGGAGTCCCTCTCTCCTGGGGCCAGGCGAGGGGTAGAAGGAAGAAGTCAGCTCGCTAGTCCCCAGTCCTAGGAGCCCACTGGGGTCTTGAGGGGGTCCTACTGGGTCCACATCCTCTGACAGCGACCATGTCTGGCTGTTGGCCCCAGACTGACACAAGTTCCAGCAAATAACCTGACCACCCTGAGCCGCTGCTCCTCCACAGGGAACCAGGCTGGCTGTGCTCACTATCCAGCCCTGAGATGGGGTGTTTGGGGTTGGGTACAGGACTCGATGCTTACAGGCCAGGCTCCACCTGGCAGCCATGCTCTCTGGCTCAGTCCCAGAGGCAAATGGCTCAGAGTCCTGCACAAGTCGGGACCCTACAAGCCTTGTCCATCTGCCCTTCCCGGGGCAGTCCAGAACCCCTCACCTAGCTGCTGGAAAGGCTAGACAATAAGACCCCCCACCTCCAGTGTCTGGCATCCAGCTCCCACGGCCCTCCCTCTCCCCAGGGCTCAGGTGGGGGCCTGCCTACTTGTAGTACTCAGCAGCCACGTCAAAGCGCCCCAGGAAGATGTGGGCGTTCCCCAGGTTGCTGTAGGCCCTCCTCTCGGCCGCCTTGTCCCCAAACTCCTTAGCAATGGCCAGGCGCTGCAAAGATAGGACCGAGGCCAGGCGGTCAGGGGGCAGCCCTGGGACCCGGCACAGATGGGCAGGTGCTGCCTCTCTGCTCAGGGTGGCCGGATGGGTGTCCATGTGTCTGGGGGAGTAGCCAGGAGCCACAAGGCCCAGGGCAGGTGAGACCAGGGGTGGGTGGGATGCCCCTGCTGCCAAGCCACACCACCTAGCCCTGATTTCGGAAAGTCAGGGGGCTGGTCATCCCAGGCCAGGTGGGCACTTGTGCAGCCCAGCCCTGTTACTACAGTGGCCCTCCCCCACCACCTGGCCGCCTGCCATGTCCCCCACCCCGTCCCTGTCTCACCGCCCCACCCCCTTTACCCTCATCCTGCTGCCTCGCCTCCTATCCCACTGTCCCAACACCCTCCTCATCCTCCCCCCATCCAGCTACCCTACCCCTCCCCACCCCTCCCCCATCCTGCTGCCCGCCTTCCCCTCCCCATCCCCTACCAGACCACCACCCCTTCCCCCCACCCACCATCCTGCCAACCACTCACCTCCTTGTGGAAGGTAGTGGCCTCCGTGAAGTTCCCCAGCAGATAGTGGGTGTTCCCCAGGTTGCCGTAGGCCCTGCCCTGTGCCGCCCTGTCACCCAGCTCCTTCACCAGGGACAGGTTCCTCCTGGGGGTCAAGTGCATCTGAGCCGTGTCCCTTCCTGCCCACATGCCCTCCCACTCCAGGCCAGAAGATGCCCTGGAAAGAGGGCACCCTGGGACGGGCTCCTTCAGTTCCAGGGCCCTTGGGCTTGGTCAGTTCTGCCAGGTGCAGGTATGGGGAGGGGCGTCAGCAGGTGGGGAAGGGGAGCCGGGCCAGCCTAGCTGCCAGACATTCTGGGAGGTGCAAGGCTAGGGTGGAGGTCCGTGCTTGGGGCTGTGCCTGGTCCCCAGCACTCAGTGGCTCAGAAGCGTCTGTAGATGCAGGGGTGCAGATAAGCTCCACTTACTCATAGAACTCGGAGGCCCTGCTCAGTGTCTCTCGGACGTCGGGTGGCAGGTGCCCGGGGTCCTGCGCCGCGTTCCAGGACAGCTGCTTGCCCTTGGCGTGGTACACGTTGCCAATGTTGTAGAGGGCCCTGGCCTCTCCAACCTGCAGGTGGCAGCATGTGAGGTGCGCCCTCCACAGCCTCCGAGGTATGTGCAGAGCCAGTGCCTGCTGCTGTGCCCTGGCCTTGGAAAGGGTTCCCAGCTCCCGTGCCCTTGAGCTCTGAGGCTCAGGGCTTGATGTCAGGTCCCATACAGGTCAGTGTCCCAGCTCACTGTCCTGCCTGGTACCTAAGGCCCCTGCCCCAGCTTTGGGAAGGGTTCCTTCAGCTGCTGTGCCCTCAAACTCTGAGGCTTGGGCTTTGGTCAGGTCCCACCAGTCCCTGACAGGTGCGAGTGGGGGCGAGGGGAGTCGGCAAGTGGGGAAGGGGACCCAGGGCCCTGAGGATGGGGACTCAGAGAAGGCTTGACTACCGCAACTCCTGGCCACACTCCCTCCTCTGCCAGGCCCTCAGCTCTGTCCTTCTCTGATGTCCAAGGCCGAGCTCAAGGCCATACCCTGGAGCTTCCAGCCTCTTAGACCCACTCCAGCCGTGTGACTTGGGGCATGTCACATCACTCCTGCAGCCTCAGTTTCCTTGTCTGTACAGGGAAGCAGGGATGCTTATCTCACAGGGTTACAGAGCGAGGTCAGCAAAGGGCTGTCGAGCATTTGGCATGAGGCAGGCCTGCAGCGGCTCTAGCTCCTACCTTCACCTCTGCCTCCTATCCAGGCCTCCTCCCAGAGCCACCTTCTGTGTCCTTCTGGGCCCCGCAAAGAGTGACTGAGGGTGTTGACAGACTTGGGGGGAGGTCAGCGAAGGGGGAGCAGAACTGATGTGGAAGATGGGGCACAAGGGACACCAGCTTGGGGCATACGGTCTCAGGCCTGTGGCACTGGCATGGGCTAGAGGCGCCCCCATTTCTGAGGAGTCCCCTCTTCTCCCAAGTCACTTGGTGTCAGGGGACTATCTCCCTGTTTTCCCTCTCATGGGGGAACAGATGAGTGTGTGTCACCTGCCTGCCCATACCCAGGATGGGGACGTGGGCTGCAAGGCTAGGGTGGGAGGGGCAGGTAGCCCAGGGACCACCCACCTACCTTGTCCCCCTGCTCCTGGGCGATGTCCAGGTGCCGCTGGCAGCAGACAACTGCCTCATCAAATCGACCCAGAACCTTCAGGGTGTTGCCCAGATTTCCACTGGCCTTGGCCTCCCCCATGCGGTCACCGATGGTCCTGGAGGACAGGGAAGAGAGGGGGCTCGGCTGAGGACTGTCTGGGCCCCTGGGCCCCCTGGTGAGGCTTCACGTGGGGCAGGGAGGTCTGGGCCTGGGGAACTGGCCTGGGGCTGACCAGAGCCTGCATTCACCAAGGCGATGCTGACCAGGGTGCCACAGTCTGGTCAGGCAAGGCTCTGAGGGCAGCTCTAGAGGGGTGCCCAACTCAGGATCAGGGCATCTGCCAGGCCAGGTGTGGGGACAGGACCCTGCCTACCCCCACGTAGCCTGTGGAGGTGCTGTGAGCCACACATGGGACTTTAGGGCCTGGTCTGGGCTTGGGGGGACAGCAGGCCTGAGGCCTGCAGCTCTTAAGATCTGGGAAGAAGTCGAGGGAGCCTGCTGGTGGAGAATTAACTTTATGATAAAGACACAGACATGAGTCCCAAACTGGCACCCAGACACATGGCAATGCACAGACTGACTCTTGTACACACACGCAGACCTTCGTGTGCTCTCACACTCAGAACATTGGGTCAACCCCAGGCTCCCCACACAGACAAGCACACCCACTCACATGTGTCTCTGCCTCAACCCGGCCTCCTGGGTTCCTGAATCCCCACCCCCTCCAGGTCAGGAGTGCCCCACTGGGTTCCCTTGGACCCTGAGAGCCCAGCGTTGTTCTCAAATAGTCGGAGTCTCCTCCCTCTTCCCCAAGAGTGGGCAGTGGTCAACTGGCCACCAGGGCCACTGGCCAGCCCAGCCCCGTTGGGCAGGTGAGCTGCCCACGCCACGCCACTCACCGTGCCAGCAGAAGGTCGTGCTTGTGGTACTCCAGGGCACGCGCATACTCCTTCAGGTAGAAGTAGGCATTACCCAGTTGGCTGTAGATGGCGCTCAGTGTCTTCAGGTCCTCTGTGCCCACCTGCACGGCAGCCTCGAAGAAGGCCACGCCTGCTTTGAAGTCACCAGCCTTGCATAGCCGCTCGCCCTCCAGGGCCAGCTCCAGGCATGACGCCTCCATCCTGCATGGAGAGAGGGCACATCACAGCCCTTGCCTTGCCAGGTCAACCCCAGGGGCCTAGACGCCTCCCTGGTCTCACAGCAGATGCCACCCTGAGGTGTGCTTATACCTCTTTGGGACACAGGCCCAGAGCAGGGGCGGGGCCCAGGGGCTCCCCAGGTGGCAAACCTCACTTGGCCGGACCCTCTGCCTGCACCTGGCACTACCCAGCTTAGGAGCACACCATGAGTTTGTGGCCAGTGGATGGAACTATATCCCACTCTTCTGGGATATAGTTCCATCCATCCCACGGTGGCCGGCATGTGACCTTGGCCAAGCTCCAGGGAGTGGGAGCAGTCTCCACACCCTGCCTCCCCCCTCCCCCGCTCCCCGCCATAAAGGCTTGAGACCAGATGCCGCCCACCATCCCCCAAGCAGCTGCAGCCACCTGGGACAGGCCCCCCAGCTCCCACGGAGGATGACTGCAGCTCCAGAAAGGTAGATGAGCTGGAGAAGGCCACCTGTGGGGATCTGATCTCAGCCTCTCCGCCTCCTGCATCCCAGGGCAGGACCTCACCCTCCAAGCTCTAAGCCGGGGCTGGGGCTCAGCCGGTCTCCGGGAGACATGGTGGGGAGGTGGGGATGCATCTGGCTGAGGATTAACCAGCCCAAACTCCTCCCCCTGGGCCCCCTCCCCACACAGCCGCTGGCTAGGACTGGTCTGAGAACCAGCTGTTCCTGCCATGAAGCCCCCCCCCCGGCACTTCTGGGGGGAGGAAGTGGATGGACCTATATCCCAGAATGAACTCAGGTCCTCTCAAAGTCACTCCAGATTGCTGCCCGTGAATGGTGCTCAGCCGCCTGTGAACACCAGCACCCTTGCAGGAGGCGGTGCTGGCTCCTCATCGCCATCTTAGGGTAGGGGCTTCTGAAGCCTCTTCTCCTTGGGCTCTGCACACACTTCTGAGGTCCCTGTACTCCAGCTGCCAACCTGGGCCCTGCTCACTGAGGGACCCCGAGCCCTTGGGGAAGCTGCCCTTGGGACACAGCTGTCAGAGGGTTGCACATGGTGGGGCGGTCACTCAGGCAGGCTGCCAGGCCCTGTCCCTCCCTGCTTCAGGGTCTGGGATTTAGACACTTCACCCTGGGAGTTAGGGTGTCCTCTTTCCTGGTCTGAGGGGTCATGTGGGCCCCAGGATGTTGCCTTGCCCAGGGGTGGAGGGCTGTTAGTGGTGGGGGAGTGCAGCAAACAGATGCCATGGGATGGCCAGTTGAGCAAGGTAAGCTCCCATCTCCAGGGTGCCCTGAGGGTGGAGCATGAGAGGAGGTGGCAGGAGGAGGAGAGAGCCAGGAAAAGGACCCTGCCAGTCAGGGGCTCAGCCTTGGTCACAAGAAGGCTGGCCCTGGCACGCCTGTTTTCTTTCCATTGCTTCTGGATAAGATCAGAGCTTGTGGGAAACCTACAAAGTAATTTAAAACGTCCACATCAAAGGCTCCTGTGGCACCCAAGGCCCCTCTTCTGTGATGCTAGAATTGGGCAGTGATCAGTATTGACTGGGGTGGGGGGAAACAACATTATTCCTTTTAAAAAACAAGAGTTAAGCCGGGCTTGGTGGCTCAGCCTGTAATCCCACGCCTTTGGGAGGCTGAGGTGAGTGGATTG